CCCCTCCCTCCCATATAGAACCCCATGCCCAGCGAGGGTGCAAGGGACAACCATCGGTGGGGAATGAACCAACCTCATAAATATGTATGTATGTGAGAGGGGCTGGGGAGTGTATATTTACATATATATATATATATATATATACATATGTGGACACCCTCCGGAGGGAGGAAGGGTAGAGAAGGCGGGAGAGCCGAAAGGGGCTCGATGCACATCGGATATGTGGTTGAGCGCCACCAGGGCGCGATCATGTCATGAGGGGAGAAAAAAACAACAAACGACATGATGGACCTTTAGCGACGCAGGCGGAGACCGGTCATGCCGAAGCTGGTGTCATCGTCCGGGGTGAGATCACCGAACTCCCACATGCCGACCTAAATGTGTTTGTGCGTGCGTGCGTGCGTGCGTGCGAGAGATAATGGGGATACAGCCGGTGAGAGGGAGGGCGGGCGGGCAGGCGGACAGGCGGACACAAGCGACCAGTAAGGGCAAGGACAATGGGCAAATACATGCAGAGGGGAGAGCAACGAAAGGCGGAGGAAAGAGACGGTCACACGCACGCGATTGGCCTTGGCCTTCTTCTCGGCGGCCAGCACAGCAGCCAGCCAGATGGGCACCGACGCACCGGCAGCCGGGGGCTGGGACTCGGCAAAGGCGAAGCCCATGTCCACCAGCTTGGCGTTGATGGAGTCGGTCATGATCACCTCGCCCTCCTTGAGGAAGGCCAGAACCGGCTGGGCACCGGTGGTGGGATCACGCAGACCGATGGTGTACACGCGCAGGGTGGCATTGGACACCAACCCGGCCAGGGCATTGATGGCGTCATTGTAGTAGCTGTCGCCATCGCCAAGGGCCGCATCAATGGCCGTCTGAATGTCATGCCCGGCCAGGGCGCGCTTGATGGCATCGCGAGCGGTGGCAGACGGCTCCGCAAGACGCAGCCCGGCCAGGGTATACTCGGCGGCCAGCGGCGGACGCGCCGCCAGGCTGGACGACAGGGCCCGGACAGCCGAAACCGGCAGACCAGTCTCCACCCAACCATAGTCCACGAGAATGGCATCCACCGTGGACCCGGCCACCCGGGCAATGCGCCCGCGGAACCAGCCGCCCTCGGACTCGAGGTAAATGGCAAAGAGAGCACCACGCGCGCGCAGAGCCGCCACCTCCGGCGGACTGGCGATGGCCTCGGCCTCGGCCTGGAGGAGGGTCGAAAGCTGGGCCAGCTCGCCGGAGGTGTGCACCGACTCCAGCTGCGCCATGAAGGTGCCCGTGTGCGGGCGGACATCAGTCACATAAATGACACGCTGCTCGGTCTTGGCCGCGGCCGCGGCCTCGGCCTCCTTGCGCTCGGCCTCCCGGCGGAGCTCCTCCTCCCGGCGAATCCAAATACCAAGCTTCTGCTGACGGGCCGCCTCCTCCGCGCGCTTCAGCTCCGCGGCATTGGGGGTATACTCCAGCGAGTAGGCATGGGTGTTGGCCAGGCCGCGCTCCAGCAGGCTGACCGCCAGGTCGGCCTGAGTCTTGTCATCACCGGCCTCATAGTCCTGGAAGGAGAGGCTACCGGTGAAGGTGCCCGTGCGATCGACCCCGCTGATGCTCACCTCGACCGAGCGATTTTGCACCTGGGCCGCGGTGAAAGCGAGCGCCTCGGCGCCGAAGGGCTCCTCCTTGCTCGGATCGCCGGAGCCAGCCCCGCCGGCCGGGGCACGAGGGCATTGGACCCCCTGCAGGGAGAAGGTCAGCAGGACCGAGTCCCCTGGGAGGATGATCTTCATCCGGCTGCCGGAGACAACGTGCTCAACAATGCCACGATGACGGGCACCAGGCGCCCGAGTCAGGAAGGGCAGGAACTGCTTGGCCTTGTTGACCGAGGCGCTGATGTCATTCAGGCCGCCCGCGGCCGGCGGCTTGCCCGAGTGAATGCCCACCTTCTTGTTCTTGGCCTGAATCTCGGCCGCGATCAGGGCATCATAGTTCAGAGGGCGGGGCATGTCATGGCGGATCTTCTGCACGGTGGCCATGCCGGACTCGATGAGCTTGACGGCAAGGTCACTGTGGTATAGATGAGACACAGAGAGAGGGAGAGAGGGGGGAGAG